GTTTGGAGGGGAGGCTAAGAGGGATGGGGTGGGACAAAGAAACTCACAGCACGAACGCCACTGAGGTCGGCTCCTAGCCATATCAGCAAGTGTGTCCAACCAAACGTGTTCATCGTCTTGCGGGCCCCAACCAGGGAGCCGAGACGCTCCAACCGAGGCCAGCTCCGAAGTGAGGGACTTCATTCCTCTGGACCAAGTCATCGCTTGGCCACCCCTCCTCTTCTTTCCTCCACACCCCCGGCGCGCAAACAACACACGTCGCGGAAGTCGGTGGGCTGGCATGCGTAACACGTGGCCGCGCCATCGGAGCCTGATGCGTGAAATAACGGTGCTGAGCGGTTCATTTCCATTTCCAGTGCCGTAAACAAGGCGTCGAACACGCTCGTTGCTCACGCGGTGTTCCCACCAGATGTGAGCTAAATTACGAAGGCACCGGTGATCGAACGTAACTAGCCTCTTCAGGTCCGCTGCTTTAAGCGGCCAGGTTTCACAACCGTACATTAGGGTCGAACGTACTGCTGCATTGTACACTCTACCCTTCAGGACAAGAGTGATGTCGCGCCGCCGCCATAAGTGGCGAAGGTTAGCAAAAGCGCCCGAGCTTTTGCTATACGATTCGTGATTTCATTTTCAATCCCACGAGCGCTGAAACAACTTCCCAGGTAGTTGAATTTTTGAACGACTTCTAGCTGATCCCCACCAACGGTCAGCGTAGGAGGCGGTCCAGACCAATCTTGGAGAAACGCTTTGCACTTCGATGGTGCGAAGCAAAGCCCGAAGTGACGGACAGCTAGTGCTAATCTGTCCAGTGCCGCTTGGCACGTTTGTGAGCTGGCACAGATGAGCGCAATATCATCAGCATACTCTAAATCAAGAAGTCGTTCTCCTGGGAGTAGCTCCACACCTTCTAAGTCGTGTCCTGTAAACGCGATTTCCATGACTTCGTCAACAGCGAACTTGAAGAGGAAAGGTGACAGCGGGCATCCTTGCCTCACGGCGCTGGAGATATTAGAGGGCGACGACAATTTGCCGTAAATCCTCACTCTGCCCGAGCTACACGCATATAATGCTCGGATAATATTCACATATTTCTCAGGTACACCTTTCCTGAGTAGACAGTCCCAAAATGCATGTCTATCCACCGAATCGAATGCACCTTTGATATCGAGGAACACGACAACGGTGGGCCGCCAATATATGTGACGGTGCTCCAACCACTGACGCAAGGTGAAGATGTGGTCAATGCAGCTACGACCTCGACGAGATCCAGCTTGCTCTTCACGAATCTGGCTTTCACGAGTGCCACTCAGTCTGTGAAGGATGACAGAGGCAAGCAATTTGGAGGCGATGGAGATCAGACTGATTCCTCTATGGCTGCCGCATTCCGATCGTGAGCCTTCTTTGAAAATTGGGATTATGGTGGAGCGGCTCCAATCGGTTGGGACAGTTTCCTGCTCCCACAGTCTCACTAGTAACTCGTGTAAATCATCCACAAGAGCAGGTCCCCGGAAGTTGAAGAGGGCTGGAGGAAGGTCATCAGGTCCCGCGACTTTATTTAACTTCAACAGTTTGATCTCATGTTGCACATAGTATTGCACATAGTAACAAAGCAATCAGCATCCGATTGGAGACCTTGTGGCGATTACAGAGTATTTAACCGCACCACCACTCGACACAAACACATGACTCTTCTTGTTATCTTCTTGGGTGTACTACTTTTTCACGTATTGACATCATGCGCGCGTATCACCAGATCCGCGTTCATCCTGATAAGGTTCAAAAGATAGCCATCATAACTTCAATCAGTTTGTACGAAGTTTCGGATGTGTATTTTGTTTACGTAACCCTGCACAAGCGTTTCAACGCTTGATCGATTAAGCACTTTCAGGTCTTTGCTTACTTTGTGCTATTTTGATTGTATGTGCTAACGAAAGCGAAGACTTGGAACGTCTAGAATTCTTATTCACACGTCTCACCAAATACGGTGTGGTCGACAGCAACAAACGCGTTTTTGGGTTATCCTCCTTGAACTTTCTTGGCCACCCCATTGATAGCACTAGCATTTCGCCAACCGCAGAGAAACTTGATGTCATAAGAAACTTTCCCACACCCACGTCCGTTAAATAGTTGAGAGCTTTCGCAGGCATAGCTAACTTTTATCGCCGTTTCATTCTACACGCCGCATGCGTGTTAGACAATGATCCAAAAGAGTTCCACTTCACTGATGCTACCGCACGAGCTTTCGAAGAAGTCAAATCTTCTCTGACGAATACCGTGATACTATTCTATCCGCAGCCCGATGCTCTGCTGTCGCTAAATATCGAGGCATCTGATACTGCTATTGGTGCTGTCTTGCAACAAATCGTCAATAAAGTCCAGCAGCCACTTGGATTCTTTTCCCACACGCTCACTCCAACCGGAACTCGATACAGCAATTTTGGTCATGAGTTACTCGTCACATACTCAAGCATCCGCCACTCTTGACACCTTCTGGAAGGAAAACAGTTCGTTGTGTTTAACGATCATAAGTATTTGACATTAGCTCTATAGGCTAAACCAGATAAGTACTCACCCCGTGAAGTAAGTCAGCTAGACTTCATTAATAGTACACCACCAAGGGACTCGGCGCCTTGTCACATTGGTCCACTCCCTCCAGGATGAAGGAATGTTCGGTCAGTGTTCGCCTTCGTATGAGTTGTGGGTTAGCAGATAACTGCTCCGGCCCTGAATGAGACAATCATGACCCCAGCTCAAGAGTAGATTTAACCACTCGGTATGGGACAGCGAAATTGGCCTGAGATCTGTCGCGTCAGAAAGCTAAAACAGCTAGCGGTATCCAAGGTAAGTGTCCGTCATGAGTCTGAATAGTCACACAGCCTTTACGTGGAGAGGCAGGAGTGATAATGGATGGGACTGGCGATAGGCGTCTCCACTATTCTAACTCTGACGAAATTGCTTATAATGTTGAAACCCTACCTGTCTCCGGCCAAATCTTCATTCAGACGACTCCCTGTGACCACCTTCATCTCATTTGTGTGTCAGTAAATAGGCTCGGCAAACACCCAGATTCAGGTCTTCTCCTACCAGTTAAATAAAGAAGCAATAAGGCACTTCCAAAAAGAATCAAGTTTCCTTGCAAAATACGGTTTTATTGCTCACGAATGCGAACTTTGAAAGTTGGCTTGTAAGGGCACCGCCTCCATTTGTACGAGACTGCTCCCGTTCGCCAGTTTTCGCGCCCACCTAAATGGTATGAATGTTGGAAAAGGAGGCAGAAATCACGGAACAGTTCTTCAAGTTAGCTGAGTTAGGTCACCAAAAGTCGATCAAATTGTGTGTCTCAAGTTTAGTGAGGTGAAAGAACTGTACAAGTAAATAGATCAGAGAAGAAACGCTCGATCAGGATAGGGGGACTTCTTCGGTGTGCTCATTCCATTGTGTAGGAACGCAGACAGTGCAACATCATGGGCTGTTGTGAAGATTGCACTGTTCGTAGAAGGAAGACGTAGAGGATCATCCATTCAGTTCGAGCCTGCCCCTTGTATTTGTGATGGTCGATGCAGTACAAAAACCATTACACAGTATCTGTCGATGATTGGAATCCGTAAACAAGTGTAGATGGGATTCTCGGATTGCTGGTGGCGCCCGAAAACCTGGATAGAAGCTCATCTGTGTAAAATTGTGCGCTTCTCGATGTGTTATTTGTTACGTCTGTGTACATTGCAGGGTCATTCATTTGTGCTGATGGGAAATATGGATGGCTGGTTTCCGTGGAACTCATCTCCCCGGGATTATGTGAAACCTCGGCACTATACATACTTGGATTGCTAAAGTGCGCGGCACCGGGGTGGTCACCATGTTCATTTGATGAGCCGGGTGTCTCACTTGATTGGTTCGGTGAGTTTTTGGAATTGGCAGCAGCAGCAGCGACCAGAGTGACTGCTCGGATTATATCCAAGGCAGGCTGGCAATGTTGTCTTGGTCCTGTCTCGGGATGGTAGGTAAACGTTAAACCGCTGGAGTAGATCACACCGTCGTGTCGAACTAGGGTGATGGGTACCTGTGGATAATATGAAATAGCGAAGCGATTGACGTCTCGAAGTATCATAAACAGGGGATATGTTTCACTAAATCAGTATGCAAGTGCACAAAGTGGACAAATAAAGCTCAAGACAACGACAGCTTAAGGAGCCAAATAAGGTGACAAGGTTGGCATTAACATGTTAGTGGAAACAGCCGAGAGGCTAAACAAAACTGTTTGCAGTCGTCTGGCGAAGTTATCGATTGCCACTTCGCTTTTGACAAAGAGTTAAGGATTTGCAGGTCAACAATAAAGAGGAAATCGACCGAGGCTCACTTCAAAATGAATTGTGCTTCAAATTGGAACTGTGTGTATCGTTCTGAACACCCAGTGGACAATCGTACTCGCTTACACTGGGCTCCTTTCAAGGGTGGACGGGCAACTCCTCTGGTTTTCCGGAGGGGTTCACGGAACTGTGGTTCAGTACTTTACTAACGGGCGATATATCACTGCTCGATGGAACAATAGGAACATTCATGTTAGTGAAGTGGAGTTGTTCGTAATTATAACTAGTAATACAGTCACCGGACACTCAGCAAATCCGCGCATGACGATTTGATCGCGTCGGAAGAGTGAATCCATGTCTCCTTGACAGGTAGCGGCTGACACCCCGGAGAAGTAGGAGACGGTGGCAGCCAGTATGATTGGGTTAGTTGCAACCTATCTCACCTATTCTTTCACCAGATGGAATCCGTTAAAAGCTGGATACGAATTATGTGTACACGAATAATAAGAATTCTCAGTAGATGAAAAGTGCCACGTTGTTGGCTTAGCGAAATCATCACCTAATCACAGTAGATCAACGAGTCATAATGGACGGATGAGCTAAGAACTGAAATTATGATGATCATGAGAGTAGCAACTTCTGCGTGCGTGCACAATATGGTAAGTATGACTCAATGTCATACAAAAATGACTCTTGATTATGCATTATGCTTTTCGTTTTTTGACAAAGTCACCCAGTCAGCTTTCGTCAGACGGCTACCACGCACACAGGAAAGCGGCGGACATCGCTAGTATCCTACTGAGACTCATCAGCAGCAAGCACCTTCCCAGAATCATGTCAAAAGATGAACCGCGCTTCAGCGCAGCCAGCAACTAGTTATGGTAGTTCGCTACCTGTACTCATGACCCTGTGACTTAAGTTGTTGTTCACGAGAGATGTGCGCTACTAAAGGGTCCACATGGGAAGGTGTCGCTCAGTGCTTTTTTGATGTGCGCTGGTCGTCCGATTAGAGCTGGCTACAGAGATCCTTGTCAGAAAACAAATCCGTTCGGAATATGACGAGGGTACCGAATTTTGATGACAAAATTTTGGTTATTGCAGTATCCAGAGATCTTGTGCTCGTCAGCCTCTCTCTGCTGATAGTCTAGCTCCTATTCACCGCGATGTTTCATCATTCTATTTATCTGACTCTAGGAGTGATAAGTACTCCTACTTCACAGTCTCTCACCTGAGTCTCAGTTTACCCAGCAAGTACTAGAAAGCCGAGAGTAAATTAGCTACGACAAAGAGAAGGTAGGGCTTGTGAGTCGGGGAATCGGGAAGACTGCGAAATATGATAAGCTGAGGGTGATTCTGTAACTAGTCTGCGAAGAGTGCAATAACGGACACATCATACAAAAAGGTGGCCACCTCCTAAGCGAGAGTCTGCGTATGGACGTATGACCCAATGTACCTCATTAGTCAGTACCGCAGGATACCTACCTCCAATGCTTTCTGAATGTAAGTCCAATCATGAAAGAATTCGGAAATGTCTGGTACGAAGCACAACAGTAGCTCCTCGCATCGGTAGAACGTTTGTGCAGGGACATCACCGAACCAAACTTGATGTCTCGGATTGAAATTCTCTCCGACCAGCTCCACCATTGCCACATCGCCACCACCGTTCACTCGTATATCGCGTACCAATGGCACAGGAGTGATCGGAGTGGTAAGTGGGCTGAGCTGCGGCTGAGTACCATCGGGCAGAACTAGGCGACTTGGTTCGAACCAACGGTACTCAGCTCGGTCAGTGCTTATGATGGTCCATGCCGCTGAATCGCTAATCGTCTCCCTTGTCGGATTGTCCTTGCAGAAAGTAGCCGGTAATTGGACAATTTTGTCTTGTGAGAGACACAAATACATCCCGTTTGTATCCTTTAAATGAAATGCACATTTGTGCAGCTGGCTCACTGGATCGTCGGCGTCCAGAAGAACGGTAGTTTTGTCCACCTTCCGCACAATCTAATTTGAGAGAAAAGGTATAAACAGGGATTACAATTACTAGTCTATCAAGTGAGCAACAAACTGAGTTGTATTGATTAGCCGGTATCATCGCGTCGGTGTGATACACCGAACGGCAGTAGCCGCGGTATGTACGAGTTCCACTTTGAAGCTAGAGGGTTCAGTACCCGATTCACACGTCCCAAGAAGAAACAGCATATAAGCAGCGCATAATAACGAGTACGAAGCATTGCGAGTTTATGTTACACAGAAACTTGTGATAATTGTATGCTGGTGATACCCTCGTATGACACCAATGTACTTGTGTACGGTGGATTCCACTGTTCAGATTTAATTAATTATGAGGAAGTGGATTTTCGATGAAATCTTTTGCTGATCCATTCCAGGTGCTCCCAAGCCAGCTAATCTTGCCCCAATCGCGAAAACACCAGATGAACGTTTCGCCTTATTGGGGCTCATCGGTGGCGCGCATCCCTTCAGTTCCTTGCGGGGAATCGAAACCATGGCCACCGCAGCTTATGCCAACTAGCTAGAAGCTTATGCTACTGAGCCAGGAGGATGGAAGCCGACCATCGTAACTTACAAGCTAACTGGGATATGGCGCAACCATGCAGATTACCAACCTTGCAGAGGACAGTAATTGGCCTCCGGAGGTCACGAATTCCACTACACAGCAGCTATGTCCGCATAGCATTGGAAGACCGTGAGGGCGAATGTTTTGATGACTTAAGAATGGGTGGAGATTTGATGACAAATGCTAAAATAATAAATTTTGTAGCAATACGAAACATCGAGGTATCAATAAACGAAACGGAGAGCAAAAACCGCTGGACGGAGGATCTACGCGATAGAAGTGAGGGACCGGATGGAAAAGTGTTACCGGGGGGAAAACGTACCCCGAGCGTTTGCTTAGCTTGAGTATGTATTCAATGCACTACCGACAGCTTCGAGGAAAACCTGATCCTCACGTACGACATTTGAACTGGGAAGGTTGGACCGGACTTAGGCTGGATATTTAGCCCGGCTAGGTTGCCTTGTCTCCGCGGTCATTACTTAAAGCAACATAAGCCGCATTCTGACCGGATCGGGGCGGAAATTCGCTTATCGCGTAGAGTTATCGAGCGCTGGGACTCACTTTCAGAAGACGTAGTCAAAGAATCTACGGTTAAAAGTTTTGAGCGGCAGTTAGACGCTCTTGGGTGGCAACACGAAACCATTCCCTTCGCCTGACCATATCCAGCTTCCAGATTCTGTACTTCTCACTCTTTGGTATTATCCTTCCTTCAAACGACATTCTTTCCTCTTTCTCTTCCATTTTCTTCCCACTTCTTTCTTATTTCCCGTGATCAGTGCAGCGGGGACTGCTAGTGCAGGAAGGGCGGGCATTCATTGGTTGACAGGGTGTGGTTCGGGTGTTTCGTTTTGGATTCAACAAGACCTCTGAACACCTTATCATTTCATGGCTCAACGATCCGCTCAAGAAGGAAAACGCAAGGAATTTTCCTAGCGTTCTAGTCCCATCTGGATCTGAATCTAGACTACCATAAATTAACTGTACACTCAGTGGGAGATGTCGTACTCTAGAGACCAATCACCGACCACTGCACATCTTTAAAGCAACTGACGGTGGAAAGAGAGTTAGATACGCAGCTGGTAAACTGGGTACGCTGATTGCCGTTACCATCCGTAGTCCAGCGGTATCAGGAGAAAGAGTTTCCACGGTTTGAACCCCGGGCAGTTCCATGGAAGTGCGAAATGCTGCTAGGTCCCAAAAGAACGACAAGCTTTCTTCAGTGTGCAATGGCTATCTGGCTGAGCTTAACAACAACTAATCCCTATTGAGACTGGAACAGAGTCGTCAATCAATGACGCTGTTTGACTTCGCGTTCCCCGTTTAACATGGTGGACAATTTAATGATATTTGAACTTGCCTTTTGTCTCTTTAGGTCACTTCTCCGTGCCACCATCCGACCAAAGGTTTTACGTCACTCCACCTTAACGAATCATAAATAGCTTACACTGGAACAGCTGTTGCGTGTGTGGGATGATGTTATGTCACGACAGAGGTCAAATGGCAACTAGCTTTCGGCCACCTACGCCCACAAAACATTACGCAAATCTGGAGTACTAACACAATGGGCAATACTTGTGTGTGTTGTGCGCAGATTCACCACCCGGTTGAGTGAAGGCTTAATATACATATAAAGATGCCCACTATATGTCGTCGCTCCGATTCAGAGCATAGCATCTTCGGAAAAGGTAGATGCACCAGCGACATTTTCTTTGTGCATTTTGGGTGTTCGCTTACATGAGGAGAGTTAGAGAGTGACAAGATGACTTCTGCCAGTTAATGCGTTCCCTCTTCTTGGGTAGGAATTGCGGAATCGGTTACGCCAGTTGTTAGAGGCATGCTGTCGCAAGGAACGTAGAAGAGCTGTTGGCTTTTGTTGCTTACCTTTACTTAGTATTCCTGGCTTTAACGATTTTAACGTTGTTAACTCTTCGCTCTAGGACTTCGTTATTTAGCTTTTCTCTAGCTCCACTTCTGTTCCGTTTATAATCGAGTAGCGGAACTGAACTGGGTGTCTCACTAAACGAATCACTGCCCCGTGTGACCGATTGGTTGTGTCAGTCAGTGAGGCCTGAGTTGTACGGGCGGTTACAGTGGATGGAAGCCTCTCTTCAGCACTGCCAACACAAGGGCTGCTGTCCTCAGTAAGTGTGGTGTTGTGTCGAACTAACAATGGACTGCTACCGGAAAACGAGGGTCAATACTTCATGACGGTGTTTGCATCAGCCAGCGTCTGTGGCGATATACTCTCGAGCTAACGGATTGCATACCGTGGAAGAGACAACACAAATGATGAGATAAAAATGTAAAGATGGATATGTGACACAACAGCAGAGACGTTTACGAGTGACAAGGGACTCCGTATTCGGTTTTCAGCGCTACACCAGTATTCCGTACCGATGCTCCACTGCCGTCCAACCGCGATCGCGATACGCGAGTAACCAAACCCATGCAGAAACAAGGAACTCGAACCCAGAGATTAGATCTCGCAAGCGAAACGCCTGAAACACTGCACAAGGAGCGTACCTGAAGGAGAACCCGTTCTGCATCAAGTATTGACTTTTGGCGCAACTCATTGTTACCAATAAACTTTTTTGGTGCAAAGAAGTGATCAAATGAATCACGGCAAGTACAGTAAGAGGCCAGCTAGTACAGCACTCACCAAACGGGGTAGAGCCATTCCAGTTTCTGCGCAAACCAATTTTACAGTGTGTCCATAGTGAATGTAGCCATCTTGCACGGTAAATTGCTCTGCTTCACCTTCGTCATCGGCCAACAAGTTGATGGTGAAAGCGCCCCATCGACTGGAGCTGGCGTGAAAACTCGCATCTTCAACATGCAAATAACGTGTGCTCACGGTCTGTGAGCGTAGACGATTGAAGAGAGCTATTTTTGTCCCGGAAGCAATGCACACTGAGGCGGGGAACAGACGGAATTAAATGACGAGATGATAACTACCCTGTCGTGTAGTGATCTAAGGGTGCCACGGCATACAAGGAAGAATGCGGTGAAGTCGGAGTAATAGTGACGGTGAGACGTGCGATGCACATTGCACAGGCAACATCAAGCTGTACACCATCTTGACGGAGATTAGATCAAGAACACCAATGTGAGAACTGCTTAGTAAGTGGTACGCGTATGCCCATATTCAGTTGCGCCCGTCCCTGTTCCAGAATTTTCATGGCGACATTTTTCAACAATCCTCCGATGTGTCGTCTGTCGATGCCTCAACTCAGTCCAATGGAACCGAATCAATTCATCGGAGAACAACAAAATAGACACCAACTTCTCGACAAACATAGTCACATAGGAATACCCAAAGTGCGATAATGCCTGTGATTTTCATTCTGGCTTACGATGTGTCTGACCATCTTGGCATAGCCAGTTAAGCGGCTACCAAGTGCCCTCAAGAGGCAATGGATGCCTACTGGCATAGGCCCAGTCGAAATAGCGTCCAGGTATCCAATGAAAGTGCACTAAGACCACTGAACTACTGGCCTCAGTGGGCATCACTGCACAGAACTAGGTAGCAAGGCCATGAGCTTAAAAAGCTCATGTCATGACATAATCAGGGAAGTTTGGATCTTGTACTTGATGAGAGATCCCTAGACAGACCTAGTGCTAGCGATCTGGGGGACTGTCGTCTCCACTGATGCTCTGGAATACAAATCCAACGGAACGCACTGACCGACTCTGCATGTCAGCTCGCCATATAATACGTAAAGAGTAGAATTCCTAATGAGGAGGCCTGATCGAATGCTAGCAGCTACATTCCGACTTTACGCCCTCTCACTTCACACGCAGCCCATGCAGTCCTGTCATAAATTAGGAAATCTGGTTTATTTTGTAGACTACGGCCCCGGACGCAGTTGTTTCCTTGATCGCAGTGGCGGCAACAGGTGACAAGCGCGAAGTGCAAAACAAAGAGTAGACGAAGAAATCAAAACCACTGAACAGGAGGATCAGCCGCCATTAGTAGATGGTAGAATCCGATTGAGGCATTGAATTCTGCACCATACTATGGCTAAACTAAGCACTCTACACTATCGTCGGTTGACTTGTTCCTGACAGCTCGCTGTGCAATAGCCCGGAGACGTCAAGGTTTTGCCCGATTGGAAGCAGTTTTGAAAACAACATGTACAGTGGCAGATAGCTACTGGGCATACAAAAGAACTAACACATGGCCAACGTGGCGGGATAGGTTTACATAACAGTCCAATGAGGCTCCAAAGAGTCTGACTGACGGCGACTGACGGACGTCGCTACTGCACATCTGATGGCCCAACCAGGTGAACAATGCGGCAAAGAGGCTAGATTTCAAAGAAGAACAACCTATCCGTAGCTTCGACGCACAGTTGCATTGTAACTGGCGCGTACAGTATTTTAGGCCTACTCTTGAGCGAATGGACGATGCGAACATTCCTCTACAGCCACCTGAGTCTTTAAAAAATCGTACTGGTCACATACATGAGCTAGCTAACCGGTGTAAGGGGTGCTGCTGCCTAAATGGGTGAACTGGTAATCTGACTTTAACTGGATGTCCGGTGACTGTGCAAACTCATGGTCCGTCGGCCCAGTGCACTTCACTTCACTTAGGTGACCACTTTCATAGATGCAGTCCAAGTACCGTGTCTCCATCTGTCATGACGCACCGACGTGGTACTAATAACAGTGGTGAACGGACTGAGAAAAAACGGAGAATTAATTAGAATGAAGAGAGGCGCAGGTAAACGTAATCTGCTTAGAGAGCCAATGGTTAGATGCAGGGAACAATGCAGAAGCCATCGACTTGGGGACTGTCTTGTCGGACGAAGTTTCCAAATGGACCAAGATGGCAAGTTCCAGCCTGACTAAGTCCTCAAATCAAGCCATTCATGCACAATGCTGTAGTGAGCCTTACTGGTTAAAGTGATGATGATACCTGAATGTCTGAATGTTGCTCTAACTTGGTCCGTTGATTACATCAGATTTGTGATTTCCAGCTGATCACATTTACCTCTTAGTAGTCTCAGAAACATCATAGGAGGTACGCAACAAAATCTCGTCTCCAACCGCCCACTAGCAGTGGTGCAGGTTCCCAGATAGATAAAGTTCTCCACAACCTTTAGTGTCTCAGTCAGTCAGTCAGTCAACAATGCGCTTTATACGCCCATGAAGAGTGAATATTCAGCTACAACACCCCGTTAAGGTCACAAATGAAATTAAAATATAACAAATCTATATAGTGCGCCAGCAATTTGAAAACGTAATATCATCGATTCCGTCTGGCTATGAGTGCAGGTTCATGCAACTGCCGTTATGGAAAAAGAGCCTTGCATTTGGATGGGAAAAGTGCATGCCATACTTCAAAACTTCAATCGACAAGTGGTTAATGGCATGTTGGACGGCCTGTGAGTCGATACACGCAGCAAGCCGATATAGGAGGTGTGTTGGGTCCCTGGTCCTTTGCGGGACCTAAGACCTATGAACCACCTGGTTGGTCACAGGTTCCTAACGCGTTGGGACACCCTCATATCATTCTTCTGCCTCCTAGGTTTAATCTTGGATCAGAGGCTCGGAGTGTGGCCACTGAAGACAAGCCCCTATTTCGGCTTGGGCAACTGGGTGGTATCACGCCCACTGACGAATCAATGGATGTGTTATAGTACTTCTTTCGCTCTGGCTAGTTCAACTGGCTCCACCGTCCCTATTGATCAACAGATCGTCTCACGTCCCGTTCTTCAACTACACTTATGCCTTTTCCAATCAGCGCCAACAACAGCCCACTGGTCGCACCTGATGGAAATAAGTCAAACTCTCTATGTTCGATGCCCGGCGATTACTATCCCCTCACACTCCATAGAGTCTTCAGCTTTTCTTCGACCTGGTTCTCCATTCGGCCTCGCAGCGTTCAATGTTCGCACTCTGATGCAGATCGGACGGCAAACCTGCCTGACTCGCAACCGTAAGACGCTCTCGGTAGACATATGCTGCGTTCCGGAAACCAGGTTGCAAGACCACAGTACCGTCCTCAGAATGACTTATCCGACAAACCCTGAGGCCAAATACCATTTGCAACTTTCCATGGACTCAGAGGTCGCTTCTGGCTGGGCTGGGGTCGAAGTGGCACAGAGTGTCAGGGCTGAGACCGCTCTGCTTGACTGGATTCCAGTCAACAGTCACTTATCTGCAGACTACGAGGTTCATGTGAGTGAGCGTCGAGATGTTAAGCGTGCTTTATTTGTCGTCTTCGCCTACGCTCCTACAGATTTCAGCCAGAATGCAGTGAAGGATTACTTTTACGAACAATTGCATGACCTTCTGCGTTCCCCAAAAAAGTCTGATTTTGTCATTCTTGCCGGAGATTTCAACGCACGAGTGGGCCGCCTGCCACCAAGCGAGTACCATCTTAGCAGTAGTTTTGGTCTAAATTGGAGTCGAGTAGACAGTATAAACAGACTACTGACTCTTTGTTCTAGTTATCGCTCGTTTCTTTTGAGTACCAGTTTTCGGCACTTGAAGAGATAGACTGCTACCTGGCTCCCATCTTCTCAAAAGGAGGAGTTGTCACAGCTTCAGCACAGATGGCGCAGAAGCGTAACAGGCTGCCAATCGTACTGCACAACTTGTCTGGACTCCGAGCACGCATTGGGTTTGCGCTAAAGTTTTGCTCGCGTTTCGGAAGATCCCCCAGGCGTATGCACTACTAACCGAACACCAAAAATCAACAAAACTACGGCATTAGCCAAGTACCAGGCCTCTCCGACAGCACTGCTTGCCTAAGTTTCTGACGATGAGCTGCATTCACAATGGGTGTGCACCAGGTACATTAGTTATTGCTAGCATTGACAGATATGGAGTTGCTCGTCACCCGCTGAAAAGCTGGATCACCGCTGTCTCCTTGTCACTGTTGGATATATGCCGCTCGGTTCAGGCCGATGCCAGCCATAATGATGAATGCCGCTCCCTGGATCGAGAATTTCGCAGACGTTTGCGAAAGGACCTTGAAGTCTGGTGGTGTGAACTTGCTAGTCTCTGGTAATACCAGAAAAATGTTCCATCTTATCCGAGTCACTAAAGGTTCCCGATGTGATGTAAGCGATACAATCTGCGAAGATGATGGCTCACCGATCACTAATCTACATCGACAGTAGGAACGATTGGCTGAGCAGCTTCACTCGCAGTTTTGCTGAGTGCCAGCTCCATCTGCTTCCGTTGGAGCGCGCAATGGCGTTAATTTGTCTATCCCCACAGATTCTCCCTCTCACCAGGAAATCTGACAAGACCTCCGCCTATTAAAGCGTCATAAAGCACATGGCCCTGGCTTACCTCCTGCTCTATTTAGTGATGGTTGTCTCACGGAGACGAAACGGCTGACTACGCTGGTGCACTCTAGCATGGCGAGATTAATCAGTCCACGTGAGCTGCTGACAGACTCGTTGTCATGGTCAAACCGCAAGCTGATGAAATCAGTCCGTCAGCATGACACGGGTTGCTACCAGCGACAGCCGTGAGTGAGCGCGACTACAGCTGGCCATTGTGGACCGCTAGCAGGTATGGAATCTGTTCAAACAACTGGTGTGAATCAGCTCAGAACGTGCAGCAGGAGATGATAGCAGGCGACTTATAAAATTGGCCGTGTTCTCTTCCTAATCTACTTCGCTCTAGCAGACTTCGGTGTCTTGTTTTGTCTCCGGCTTGGTTGCAGCGCAGAGGGCAGAGGCGAGGGTAGCGTTACCACAGTGGCGACGCGAGTTTCAATCGAACCCAGAAATGGCAGTCAGCTTTGAACTATTGCAGACACATTTGCAACAAAATCAAATACAGTCAGAAAAGTCGCAAGCCAAGCTCAATGCGATGTTGAAGCAGAAGCTGTCGATGCAGTCAAGCCCAGGGTTAAGGGTAAGTGAAAGTGTCCCCTTTCCAGAAACCCTGACACAGCAGATCAGTGAATTCCATTATGATGCGGATGCTGGCGTAACATTCGCTTCCTGGTTTCACAAGTATGAAGACATGTTTCGTGTTGATTTCGCAAATGTTCCAGAAGAGAAGAAAATTCGCCTGATGCTCCGGAAGATGTGTGCGGTTAAACATAAAATTCTACAAATTTCATCTTACCAAAGAAGAGCAATGACGTGTCCCTTGACGAAGTTGTCACGGCCCTGTCACAACTTTTGTTGAGCAGACATCCTTGTTCAACCTTCGGTACATGTGTGTCACGATGGCCAAGAAAGAAGACGAAGATTGGGTCACCTACTCGAGCCGTGTAAATCTCGAGTGCGAACGTTCACAATTTCACAAGATGACCACCTACCAGTACAAGTGCCTCATTTACGTTTTCAGCATACAAGCAACCAAAGGTGCAGACATACGAACATGAATACTGAGCGAGCTTGAACAGAATCCGGACATCGGTTTGCAACAAATGACCAGTGAGTGCTAGGGAATGACGAACCTGAAGCATGATACATCAATGATTCAGCCTGACACCATTTGTGCAGCCAACCGGAATCCCCAAAAAGCAACAAGTCACATAAGTCCATCACATTCCAAACCTCCCTCGGCTTGTTGGTTTTGTAGAGAATGGCACTTTGGCCGGAACTGCCCGTTCAGAAATCACATTTGCAATCGCTGTGGTAAACGGGAGCACCAAGAGTCGGATTGCTTGGCAAGTCGTCCCATAATGACCAGGAAGAAGCGAAACAATGCTATTCCGTCCAGACGTCCCAATAGGACCAGATCTGTCACTCTCACTTCCAAAGTGGTTGAGCTCACCAGGCCTAAGTATACGACCGTCAGAGTCAATGGCATTCAAGTCAAGTTGCAGCTGGATCCTGCTTCAGATACAACCGTCATCTCCGGTTATACCTGGTGCACGCCCGAGCGTCCGTCACTGATACAAACGTGTCAAACAGTACAGTATGCGTCAGGAGGCATGCTAAAGTTGCTTGGTCAGTTGAACTGTCAAGTCAGATTTCGTGATCAAAATATCCGCACATGTTTCGTGATAGACAAGCCAGGGTTAGACCTGCTGGGTCTCGACTGGTTGCATGAGCTGGAATTGCTAGATTAGTCAGTGAACAGCATATGTCAGCAACCGCAAGTCAATCAAGTGTTACCATCATCATTTCCAAGCCGATGGGTTCAGAGTCGTAGTCCTAAGATGAGATGATGGCATACGGAGAAAAATCAAGCAGACCGGGTCAATCATTTCAAGATTGGTGACATGAAGTACGTGAGCGATTTCCGTCGACCGAGGAGGTGGTTGACAGAATCGGTGATATAAAGAAAGGATGGAGTCATTTACGAAGTAGCGGTTGCAAACAAGAAATGGATCAGGTAGTTAGATCAGCGGATGCCGAATTACGGAAAGGCTAAAGGGCCCGCAGACAACATTCATCAAAAACCAAGCAGGAGGAGAAGAAAACCGCCACGGCAAATGATTGATGTCAAGACAAAAAATCCGAATTGTAGTAAGCATGCATGGTGGGGAAGCAGCTTCAATTCGGAAGAGGATGTGTCACGGAGACGAAACGGCTGACTACGCTGGTGCACTCTAGCATGGCGAGATTAATCAGTCCACGTGAGCTGCTAACAGACTCGTTGTCATGGTCAAACCGCAAGCTGATGAAATCAGTCCGGCAGCATGACACAGGTTGCTACGTGACAGCCGTGAGTGAGCGCGACTACAGCTGGCCAGTGCGGAGCGCTAGCAGGTATGGAATCTGTCCAGGCAAGTGGCGTGAGTCAGCTCAGAACGTGCAGCAGGAGATGATAGCAGGCGACTTATAAAATTGGCCGTGTTCTCTTCCTAATCTACTTCGCTCTAGCAGACTTCGGTGTCTTGTTTTGTCTCCGGCTGGGTTGGAGCGCAGAAGGCAGCGTTGCAACGGTGGCCGTTCGCTGGTCCCTGAGCTCACCGCTGCCTTCCCAGAAGACTGGTAAAGAGCGGACGTTCCATCGTCTTGGGGTGAGTCGATTGTCGTCCCTAAAGGGGTTTGCGCACAATGTGCTGCAACAACAGGGGTATAATTTTGCTTCTCATCGTTTACAACTTGCTGATGCTCATGGTGCTTTCCAGGCTATCCCAATACGCGAATCGTTGCAGTAGGAAGAACAGGGTGGGTTCCGCTTTGGTCGGGGCTGCATCGATCAAATGTTCACACTCCGCCATGTGTATCAAAGGTCATCGATTGTCATGTTGCTGGATATCCATGCTGCCTTTGGTTCTCTCGACAGGGCTGCGTTAGTGCACTGCATGCTATGTACAGTCTGACCTCAGGTAGAATTAGGGCTTGTGTCTAGCTTTCGCCTTTGTTTGTTGTCACCCGTGGAGTTCGACAAGGGTGCCGTATCACCCCATTCCTCCACAATTTTGCCATTAAGAATGTCCCCAAAATGTTCTGGAAGACTCGTTAAACGTTAACATTGAGCTCCTCTCAGGTAGTCGTGTAATTGACTTGGATTATTCTGATGAAATTGTTCTGATGGGTGACGGTCTATAGGCCGTCCAACTTGTTTTTAACCGCTTGGCGAATGAAAGGTCCAAGTATAGCATGCACTTTTCCCCATCCAAGTGCAAAGCTCTTATTCCATAATGGCAGACGCCTGTACCTGCCCTCACTCTTGGTGGTGAGACACTGGAGATCGTGGATAGGTTTGTCTACCTGGGAAGCTGCATCACTGCCGGTGGAGCTGTTGGAGATGAGATTTCGATGCGTATCTCAGGAGCCCATCTCGCTTTCTCCAGACTGAGACACTTGTGGAGCCGCTATAACATCCAAGAGCTCTCAAATGGATGCCACGACGAGTTCTGTCAGGATGTGTTAGTGTATGATTGTATGAGTTAATCCCGAATGTTCACATGGATAGATTGCATAGTAAACATAGGCAAATGCTATGACGACATGGTCGCTGAGACTTTATGGACTCTCCATTAACAACCTGTCGACCGTGAGCTCTTTACTTAAGATCACAAGCTCCAATACGGACTGTTTGTTTGCTGTCCTGAAGCTAGCGGGCTAGGTTAACTAGGGGGGATAGATGCGATAAATTCATGCAAGTCTGCTTTGAAGTATTCTGTTGGGAATATCAAAACTTCAAGATTGTGTACACTGAAATCACTGGCGATGAAGATACTGCTGTATCTATGGTGTGTAACCTTGATCAGGGCGCGTAGCAATCGGGAATCCATTTTCGGATTGGATGTTGGTAGGCGATACACGACAGCTACAAGACATACACCCTTGTATGTTAAATGAAAACAGCACCAAATTGAGTCGGTGATACGAGTTTCCTACTGCCCATAAATCAGGCTAAGTGTTCTGTCTTCCGTATAGGTGCAACTTTCCCGACTTCGAGCTACGTACTCGGTGGGGTCGAACTCCCCCTTGTCTCCTACCAGGTAGACGTAGGTGTCGTTCATTCCTCGTCTTTGCATTCTGGTGACAACTGGAAGAAGGACGCTAGTAGGGGTTTCAGAATGTTGTGGTTAATACGCCGTTCTTTCGGGGTCTTAACTGCCGACATATTTGTGAAGCTGTTCTCAGCTTTCGTCCGGCCCCATCTGGAATACTGCGTCCAGGCTTGCCCGCCCTGCCTTGTTCGGGACAAAATGGAGCTTGAGAGGGTTTTACGAGTAGGTACTAAATTGATCGAGGGGTTACGGGGGCAATCGTACCCCGAGCGTCTACTTAGCTTATATATGTATTCAATGCAATACCGACGGCTTCGAGGAGACCTAATTCTTACTTACCGCATTTTAACAGGTAAGGTTGGACCGGACTTGAGCTGGATATTTAGCCCGGCTAGGTTGCCTTGTTTTCGCGGTCATCCCATGAAGCTACAAAAGCCGCGTTCTGACCGGATCAGGGCGGAAACTCGGTTATCGCGTAGAGTTATCGAGCGCTGGAACTCGCTTCCAGAAAGTGTAGTCAGTGAACCTACGGTTAAGGGTTTCGAGAGTCAGTTAGACGCTCTTGGGTGGCAACACGAAACCTTTCCCTTCTCCTGACCATATCCATCTTCAAACTCTTAGTTTTTATTCTGTCATTCTCTTCACTCTTTGGTCTTATTCTTCATTTTAATGACTTTCATTCCCTTTATCTTTCATTTACTTTCTACTTCTTTCTTACTTCACGTAACCTACACAGAGCGGACTGCTAGTGCAGGGAACGTGGGCAGTAATTGGTTGATCAGGGTGTGTTTCGGGTGTTTCGTTTTAGATCTATCAAGAACTAGCACCTTATCATTTCCTGGCTCAACGATTTGCTCAAGAAGGAACACTCAAGGGATTTTCCTATCGTTCCAGTCCATCTGAAGCTGAATCTGATCGATCAACTTTGCCGCATACTATTGGGATAACGGTGCTTTGACGGTCGGATCATTTACCGAGGCTCAGAAGTGGTAACCCTGGGACCAGTCAACGAAAAAGACATCAGTTTCATAATGGAACATGCTATCGCCTGATAACAGTTAGAGTACAATAGAAACTAACATAGACGTGGAGTTCTGGAATTATCTAGTTTTCTAACCCTCATTCAAACCACATAAATAAAACGACGAATCGGTACTTTACCTAGTATTGGGATATATATATAATCTGCAGAACTTACGATCAGTGTTTTTTAATGATTGCTTTTTCTTGCTCGGTTTCGAGATCACTTTTATGCGCCTGGAATGGAATTGACCCAGATCCCTTCCACCCGCGGTGAACATTTTTAATACGAGCATAAAATATTTTCGCTTATCTGAATCCGAAATGAACAGTGTTTTTGCATTTGAATAATCACGGCCTTGTTCCAAATTCAGCTGAACCATGTCTTGGGGAGCAGTAGACCCGCCGATCCCCATAAACGCCAGTATCTGAAAAACAATGTGCTTTGGCTACTACAAAATTTTCAGTAGTAAAATAATGACAAAATGATGACCTGGTACATTGGCGACAGCTGACGCCAGGCAGACGAAATATTCTCGGGGCATGCACCTGCCTCTGTACAAAATCGTGTTTTGCATACGACTAAATGTGGAGAATACACAACAATCCTGTAGACATGTACGGATAACATCTAATCATTCTGAAGAGAACAGAGTCGAAGTATGCCTTAAGGAAGCTGGCAGCAAACCAATCCCTATGCTTACCACTCGACACATTTTAAACGTACCTTTAAATGAAAACATAAACAATCAGCTCTCTCTGACCGTACATGTTTCCTTTCGATGTGTCTAAGCAATGTGTAACATTTTGTTTGATCCGGAGTACAGGGGGAATTCAAGGAAGTGGAACTTAAATTTTTGAATGGTTGGAAAGCGCTCTAGAACATTCACCAACGTTACCCAAATTGTCAATAATGTTCACAAAAGCTACACTAAAAAATTGCGTTCAGACCCACTTGAGTGGATGGAAGTAGAGACAGATCAGATGAAGTTGTATTTGAGGTGGCTGTCAACGTATGACTCGAATTTGATCCTCCTGTGTGCACGTAACTTGACTGGGCAGTAACAGAGTGCATCGTTGGCTCTTGCGGAGGCTGCAATTCTGTCTCCACGTCAATATTGATTGAACTATCATTCTGAGCTGTGCCATGTGGTTCTGTAGACAGACTCCATCCCTCACCGCGAAGGTAAACACATGGCGGAGGACAGAAGAATCTAAAACATGCAGGACAATAGAATAGTGTTTCATACTAAGCATAAGAGGGCTCGTTTAACAACGCCCGTAGGATGGTCATGACATCACGGAAAAAACAACTAAAAGTTTGTATAAAAAGCATTAAGTGAGCACCAGTTGACCCACCGGAATATTCCCATGATAACAAGCATGGACCCACCTGGTTCTAATTAGTGAATGTATCGTTTTATTACGTTAAGTTGCGTTTTACCTAAGACATGTTATATGAAGAAATGTAGATAACTCAATGCCTCATTGCGCCAATCTTGATAATAGCGAGGTAGGAGCCAAAGAATGTGAATTGGGGAAACCTTTCACGTCTGGCACATTCGAGAGGAGAAGAAACGTATGCCGTACTCGAGCCGGCCATACGATCTGGCCAACTGTAGATGATGATCTCTCAGTTTAGTGTTATGACTGAGTTCCAGCATTGGGTGGAAAATGCGGTTTTGGTTCCTCAGGATTTGGGAAGTCATTTGGGAAGTGGACCGCCGACTTCCATACCGACCACTGTACACTATTGGAGGTTTAAGTCTAAATTCGTGGCGTGGATGAAAGTGGTCCTTAACCTATTTAGGGGACGTTAGCCGTAAAGTCCCGAGCGCAGCAAGCACGTGCTTCTGGTACGACTGTCACGCCTGGATGGCGTATTCCAAATGGGTATTAACCATTTGTGGAAAGGCAGATGGGTCAAACCGAGCAAACACTCGGTGCAGGAGGCCCACATGTTGATTTCCGGTTCTCCACGCCTTATCGCGTTACTTCGGGCAGCTGAGATCAGCCTGAACAAGGTCCCGCTGTTTGGAGGTTCTCGTCAGAGCGAATTCCCCAATCTTATGTACACCGGTTGGCTGCTGATGTATATGGACCGTTTCTAGCTTTGTTAGGCTGGAGACTCATTGCCAGCCATCCGTGGGTATTGCTGAGACCACTTTAAAGGAGACTGTGACAGCCCTGCTAAAATCGCTCGTCATATTTTACCCGCACCGGTGAGAAGCGTTAAATCCGAGGGGCTAATGCATGCCAGGTTATTGAGAAATACTGAAATTAAGCACGGAATCATCACCGAATCCTGTGGGTCAGATTCAACTTAAATTGGGTCGTAAAGTGATCCGAGGACATGCAATTGAAGTCCCCGCCGGTAAAAGAAGTTGCAATATACGCAAGCAAGGAAATCCTGACTCCACAGCTATGAAGCCTGTGAAGGTATATATGTGAGGGTATATATATGTATATGAATATATATATATATGAATATATATATATAAGGTATATAGACGGGCATGAGGTTTTTAAAAACCATGGGAACAATAAACGGATGGATTGTAGAGGAAAATCGAACACGACACAGAGTAATCCATGGTTTTGCCGGGAAAATCCATGGCGGTAGCCTCATAGCTTGCGTAAAAGCATGTATGAACGATTCAGATGGACACATTTTCGGTTGGTAAGTTCACTGTGGTTGTACACTGTTTATAGTTATTTCTCGTTTTTTTGAGAACCCCGACCGACCATCTGGTAGGACATGATGCTTGAACTCTTTTGTCTGCAATTTACCATTGATCAATGACCATTTCGCGTGATCCTTAGGTTTCACCGACATGGTGAATTCCGGTTTCTTCCTTTGCCACCTGATTCGGACTTTCTGGATCGAGCAGAACCCCTCCTACTGAATGGAATAAGAGAGCAAAATCAGGGTACCGCCCTACAACACACTACTACCTAACACGTACACTTTGTGGTACCGTGCGCCGATATCGCAGCAGAGCGGACGACGGAAGCGATAAACTTCGCATGATCAAACAGGACCAATTCAACGAATACCATTACGTCGGTCATGAAAGCAACAAGATAAAATGGCTCCTGTTCCGGTAGAATCAACATTCAGTCGATTCTCGCTGAGGCTACGAGTCAATTAGCTACCATCCGTCTCTAAATTTTAAGGCAACAATGCAGATTGATTAAGCAGCGAATGTTGTGCCTTCCGTAACCATTTTGCCCTCCGCGTCGAATAGCCACTAATGTGTGTAGTTCATTATGAAAATCACTCGATACTAAGTGGATAAGAGTAGGTACGAATGTTTTCATTATTCAGGATTAGAGATCAGTAAGGCGGGTATGGATGTATGGTGTGCTTACTGATAGCTATTTCCTTCACTAAATGATAACTAGAACTGTGACTCTATCCTGATCTGGAGTTTCATAATTCTAGGAGTAAGTCGTGGGATTTGTCAGCCAAATCGAATCATCGCATGCGGAGGCCTGGACACAAAAACGTCGATTTGCTTTACACGTGTAAACATGAGGACTTCCTACAGTATGGTCACAAAGCTGAAGTTAGCCTGGCCAAAATAACTAGTATGTAATCGTGGCGGTGCTTCAATCAAGACTGGCGTGAACAAAGGCATTGTAGCACTGGTATGCGCATCGCAGCAGATTACCTTCTAAACTCCGGCTCTAAACGACGTCCTCTAAGCAGACACACGACATGAGCACTCTAGTTAAATAATATCCCGATAACGTTTCGGAAAACATTGCTCATTTAGGCGCCGAAATCGATAATCACATCCCATAGGTTACAGAGAAAGAGATGGTTAGGTAACGGATTACGGAGTCGCTTGGTCTGAACACAGATTCATCCATCACTGCTATATCCACACACAAAAATTTGCGGCCGACTTTTCATTGGTCGGTTCAACATCATGCCTAAAACTCACGTCCTACGACTACTCACCAATGAGAACAAATAAACTTTCCCCATTTACACCAAAGCCTCATCAACATGCTTGCTAAACTACGACTACCTCAGGTTTCACGCGCTTGGGACCTCGCCTTCATAACTGAAACCTGCTTGTACTCCGAAAGTATCGACACCGAAGTTGCGATACAGGGTACGTCCATTGTTCGAGACGATCGCAAGTGACGTGGGGTAATTCTCTACTGCCGTTGTAGCCTGAAATGTGAGCCAGTAGATAATCCGGAAACACTTATCATAGACTCACTCTGGTGTCGTCGGCGATTGAGACGCAAAGACACCTACCTTGTGGCAGTCGTTTATCGCCCCACAATGTCCACCCCAGAGATGGACTCCCTTTGAACATTAGTCTTGGAAAATACCAGGCGACCAAGATACAGTCATGTCCTTAGGCGACTTCAAGGTTCTGTGGCTAAACTATGCCCAAATATTCCGACTATTCTCCAGCATGTGTCACATACTTGCCTCAATGTCCCCCATACGCCAGGACTTACCGAAGTCGCCTCGAGTTCAGCGACTGCAAGTAGGAATTTCCTATCGTTGTACACCCATTGATCCCTAAGGCTGTGAGGCTAACTGAGTCGTTTTCACGATTCTCTCAAAGATACTTGGATGAGCAACAGGTCCTTACCATGTGGAACCAGGATATCGTTATCTCGAATTTTAAGTGTGGGAGTTGTTCAGGACGAGCAAAGTACGACCCAGTGAACCTCTGCCCAGTGCTCGCAAAAGTGATAGTAGTGATCACTGCTGAGACACTACTGTGTTAGAATGATTCAACATCATAGCACCAGAACAAGATGACTTCCATTAACATCAACCAGGTACCACCAACATGCTGACTGCGTGTGGTAGTTGAACCGAAACGGCCGATAATGGAACCGGAACCGATATTGTCTATATCGACTTTTCCAAGATCTCCCATGTACTAGGTCACTGCAACCTAGTACATAAATCGCAAACCTACGGTGTTGGGAGCCATGTCCTTGTATGCATCCGAAACTTTCTTTTTCAGCGGTGGCTACAGGTGCGCGTTCGAAGCTCACTGTCCCATCTTACTGAGGTAGAATACGCCGTTCCACAGTGGTTAGTACGGGGACTGCGTTTATTCATGGTCTTCATCAGTGACATCGCGTGTGTCATCAAGTCGAATTGCTTGCTTTTAGCAGATGATATCAAGATATACCGGACGAACGGTAATCCGGAAGTTCACGAATTGCTGCAACCAGTACTGGACCGTGCTTCTGAATAGTCAAAGACGAAACTACTCTCAGTTGTCGCGGATACATACAAACTGGTTCATCTAAGTCATCAATCAGATAGCACATATGGGCTGAGAGACGATATCTTGCAGACCGCCTCACGAGGTCGTTACTTGGATGTAGTGATCCAGGATGACCTCGGCCGTGAGTGTCAAAAGCCGGGTCTCTTATGGAGAGCGTTCGGGCGGTTTGATCCTCCCAACTTTATACCGATGCTCAATGCGTACGTGAAATACGTAACACAGACCTGACAACCCTGGCGGAAACGCGATCTGGCTGCACTCGAGACGCCACAGCCTGCTCCTACTCCAAGAAGTTGGAATTTGTCTTTCTCCACAGGGTGACCTAAAATTGATCTATCAGATCCTGAAAAATCCCTGCTACATTTGTTACCACCTCCTATGAATTAAAAACAACAGCAGTACGACAGTACGCAATACCGACGCTTCTTTGCTGCGCAACCACCACTAGTCGCACGTGAGCAGAGAATACGCGAGGATCGTCTCCTCCCTTACGTAGGCTCAAACCCACGATCTGCGGAGTATAAGACATGTTTGTGATCCCTATGACCATGGGCTGATCTGCTAAAACAACTGCAACACCAAACTAAGGGATTACCAGCTGAAGCTGGCCGAATTTGTCAGCCCGGGAACGCTCTTCCGACCTATGTCATTTCTGCGCCCATAATATCCACTTTCGAAAAACAACGATATCTTACCTTATTTACATTCCGTAACATGTCTGTCCTTCATCAGGTAACGACAGAGTGAAAATTTGTGATCACTAGCTCCATACAAGATCGGAGGGGACGGATCTACCTATGTGGTAACCTGTGTACTACGGGGAGTCCCCGTATGCGCAGTTTACCTTGCGGGCAAATCTCGGCTTTGGACTTGTATTTCACACAGACCATCCTACATGAATTGCCGAACCTTAGCTTTGTTTATTCGTGGTATACATGTCC